ATGGGCTGCCACCTAGCCTGCAAGAGTGACACATTTCATTTTTTGTACATGCATGCATGCATAAGTGTAACCCCCTAGGATGCCACCTAGCCTGCCCCAAGTCTGCACCTACACATGTATTTTGTAAGTCTCCTCCCATCAACTTCAATGGGCTTACATGCACTAATGCAAGGAATCCCAAAGGCTGTCACATAGCCTGAGCCTAAGCTGCAACAAAGGACACCTCTTATTCGCCAATTGGGGTGGCGACACCATTCATTTTTGTACTCTTTCGCGAAGTCCAATGGCGCCTCCGTTACTGTCCAATCGTGATACATGCATGGGCTGCCACCTAGCCTGCAAGAGTGACACATTTCATTTTTGTACATGCATGCATACATATGTGTAACCCCCTAGGCTGCCACCTAGCCTGCCCCAAGTCTGCACCTACACATGTATTTTGTAAGTATCCTCCCATCAACTACAATGGGCTTACATGCACTAATGCAAGGAATCTCAAAGGTTGTCACGTAGCTTGAGCCTAGGCTGCAACAAAGGACACCTCTTATTCGCCAATTGGGGTGGCGACACCATTCATTTTTATACTCTTTCGCCAAGTCCAATGGCGCCTCCCTTACTGTCCAATCGTGATACATGCATGGGCTGCCACCTAGCCTGCAAGAGTGACACATTTCATTTTTTTGTACATGCATGCATGCATATGTGTAACCCCCTAGGCTGCCACCTAGCATGCAAATGTGACACTTCGCAGGCATGCAAGCACAAGCAACCACTATATCAAATTTATTTGCCTATAAATACATACCATATGATACATCTCTCACACCCACACAAGTCTCACTCTCTGCTACGAAATATTTCATAAGTATATCATACTCTTTATCTCTTCCTAAGTCTTTCATACTCTCAAGCATTTTAAACAATGGCTCTTCTAACAATGGGCGATACTCACAGAGGCACAAGGGAAAACATTGCCGCATTTGTAAGTTTCTTTTTTGGTTATACATTTTTCATACTTCAAATAATGCGTTGTTCATCTTAATTAATCTTACACATGTTACATTATGAACTCAGGACACAAAAAGATTCAGAGTCCGTTCGCACAACTACCTGGCTCCTGACCCATTTATCGTCCCATATATGGAATACGCAGGTTTTGGACATGTCATAAAGATCTCCAACTGCACCATTGACTCGAAGTTCATTCTTGCAATGTTGGAAAGGTGGAGACCGGAGACCCATACATTCCACCTACCAATAGGTGAATGTACCATCACGCTAGAGTATGTGTACATGCTACTAGGTCTCCCTGTCGACGGTAAGGCCGTGAACGGGTCGGTTCAACAACCCAACTCTCAGTGTGAAGAACTGTTGGGCAGGGATATGGTAGAAGGTGGTGGTGCGAGAGGGCACGGAATACTACTCACTGAGCTGAAAAGTCATTATGCAAGTTTGGAATTAAATGAAAATTCCTCCGAGAATGACAGGGTAGTAAAAGCCAGAACTTATCTTATGATACTTTTTGGTACATTTTTATTTCCCGAAAGTACGGGAAATAGTGTAAATTTTATGTATTTACATTTACTAAGAAATTTTGAGAAAATATAGTTGGGGTTCTGCAGTTTTAGCCCACCTATACAGTTCCTTGTGCAAAAACGCAGTCAAGGAAAAATGTACATTTTATGGGTGCGCTTTTTTACTACAAGCCTGGGGTTGGTGGAGGATGGAGTCCTTAAACCCCGTCAACAACAACACTTTCGGTTTCCCGTACACAACAAAGTAAGTCATCAAGTTATAGCATTTATAACTATTCATCTCTTCACCAAATATATGCTAAGAATAAAATGTTTCTCATTTCCTTTAGGTACTGCGTGAGGGGTATGGATTACGGCAAGAATCCAAGATTCAATGTCGCACTCTACCGCAATCTGTTGGATCACTTAGGCCCGGATGACGTACGTCATAGCTTTTATCTTTTGCTCAATTAAATTATTTATACATTACTTTTGCGTTAACCTGATTTAAATTTTATCGCAGTTCGTCTGGAGACCGTATTTGGGTTTGGGCCATGATCCAAACCCGGAGGATGCAGCAACTTGGACCGCGAAGACTGCAATCATTCGGTTCAACATTATGGAGATGCACCACAGCGACCGTGTGAAGATGCAGTTCGGAATGCATCAAGAGATACCAAGTGATCCAACTTGTTTGTCCCCATGGCATCTTAAAAGGGTCGACGCCCAGTGGGGTCTTACCAACTGGAAAGACTTCGCTCCGGAGTGGTGTAAGATGTGGCAGAGGCGTCACCACTATGTCTTGTAATTCCCGGTTTTCCTTATTCAAGGTAATATGCGACACTCAGATCAATATTTGTCTTGGTACAGGTCGGTTAGTAACCCTGAGATGCACGTGTCTCATCCAAGGTACTTGGTTGACCCACGCACACAATGGGCACAACCCTCGTTTCCCCATCAACAAACCCAAAACCCATCACCCTCCCACCAACCCCCAAGAAGAAACAGACCCACAAACACCCAATCACAGTCCCCACCACAACACCACTACACTCAAATGCCACACAACCAACCACAATCACCACCACACTACCAATACCCCGATATGCCTCACACCCAACCACAATACCAATCCCAATACCAGCACACCCGCATACCCCACACACAATTTCAGTCTTTCACATATCCCAACATGGGCCCCTCAACATCCAGCCTTAGCCCTGATATGGGAATGTCGGAAGATTACGAACAAACTGACCCAGCCTACCATCAACTACAATATCACCAAACCACCCAACATCCTCAATACCAAACACCCCAAGATCCATTTCCTTTCTACCCACCGTACTCAGACGATCAATGCTACAGACCCACTATGGAACCGCACCCACCGCCAACACGACCAAACTTTGAGGGTATGGGTAACCGACTGTACCAAAGCGGATCTTCTAGATATGGAGATCTGACTGATTTTATGGATCTGGACCGCATTGACTTCGCTGGGCCATCGACCTTGCCGCAGCAGGAACATGACGACACCCAGCACGAGAAAGGCGAGGACGGGGATGCGGAACCGGGGGTCATTACTGGGTTCCGGGGGATCACTGATTTATCTGTTTTTTTTCCCTGTTTTTTTATCTGTTATTTTAATGTAATACAGTTGGATGTAATTTTTTTTTATAATAAAAAGTCCATTTTGTTGATCTTCTGTCCAACACGCAACGCACCGGACAAAAAAAAATCAATTTTTACCCTAAAAATACACCTAGGCGCCATCTCACTTGGATTAGGGCATGCCCTAAGCACATAGGCGCCAAGTGAGATGGCGCCTCCCCTTAAAATAGAGGTGCATGCGCCATTTCAGATGGCTCCTCCTTTGGGGAGTCATCTGAAACATGGTTATTTGCGTATTTTTTTCCGAAAGGCGGTTATTTGCGAAATATTATTTTAATACTTGGTTATTAATAAAAAAAATTCCATAAGCTATACTACCAAATACCTTGAGATGAGAAATTGTTGGCTTCTGTCCACTCCATGCTTCTTGTGGTGTTTTGTCTTCTAACTTTGAATGTGGACATCTATTCTGAATATAAACAGCACATTGTACTGCTTCTGCCCAGAATTCTTTCGACATGTTCTTGTCTTTGAGCATTGATCGAATCATGTCAGAAATAGTTCGATTCTTCCTTTCAGCCACACCATTTATCTGAGGTGAATATGGTGTAGTTAGGAATCTCCTTATGCCCTGTTCTTCACAGTACTTCACAAAAGCCATTGAAGTATACTTTCCTCCTCTGTCAGATCGAATTGCTTTGATGTGTTTGTCTGTTGCCTTCTCCACCATTACTTTGAACTTTTTGAACACTTCTAATGCTTCAGATTTTTCTTTCAAGAAGTAAACCCAGGTTTTTCTTGAGAAGTCATCAATAAAAGAAATGAAGTACCTTTTTCCACTGAAGGATTCTGGAGTGATTGGCCCACATATGTCAGTATGTATCAATTCGAGAATATGTTTAGCTTGATACTCTGCCTTCCTTTGAAATGAGGTTCTTGTTTGTTTGCTGAGCACACATTACATTCTTCACAGAATTTTCCTTCGAAATCCATGTCTGGTAATCCATGCACCATGTTCCTTTTCGCCAACCTTCTCAAACCAGCATGATGTAGATGACCAAAGCGTATATGCCATAGTGACACTTTGTCTTGCACTTCGATTTGCAGACATTTCTCTCGAATGTTCCTCAGGTTCAGTTTGTACATTCGATTTCTTTCCATTTCGACACTGGCAATCAGATGTCCTGCTTTGTCCTTCAAATGCAGTGTTCGATCTTTCATAAGTATCGAAACACCTTTTTATGTAAGTTGTCTCAGACTTAATATGTTTGTCTTGAGATCTGGTACATAGTAAACGTCTTCGATTGATCCAATCAAGCCATCCTTCTGCAAGTAACTGATTGTGCCCTTTCCTTCGACCTTCACTTTCGATGCATCTCCAAAGGACACATTACCATCTTCAATTCTCTTCATATCTTTAAACAGGTGTTTGTAACCACACATGTGATTACTTGCTCCCGAGTCAAGATACCAAACACTGTCATTGGTGTTGATTTCGTTTTGAGCCATCAGGAGAAAGCCTGCATTCGATTCAACTTCCAAGGCTAGGTTGGTTGTTTCTTCAATCTTCTTTTCGATTCGACAGTCTTTTGCAAGATGTCCCACTTTGTCACAGTTGTAACATTTGTAGGAGTTACAATCCTTCGCATAATGACCATACTTCCCACACTTGTAGCATTCGAAGTTGGAATGATTCGAACGGCCACCTCTTTGACCACGTCCTCTTCCACGCCAATTTTGTTGGCTCGATTGTCCTCTTTCGAAGTGGGTACCTCTACCACTTCGACCACTGTCACGACCTCCACGTTCACGTCCTCTTCCTCGAAAGTTGTGAGAAAAGAGTACCTTTTCGTCTTTGTTCGATTCCTTGGTTTGGTTTGCTTCTTCGACTGCTTCTTCTTTCTTTTTCATCTTTCGTTGTTCATGTGCTTCGAGAGAACCAGCGAGCTCTTCGACTGAGAGCGTCGAAAGATCCTTCGACTCTTCTATTGCACATACAATATTTTCAAACCTGTCTGTTAAAGATCTCAAGATCTTTTCAACAACTCGTGCATCAGGTACTGTCTCTCCATTTCTGGTGAGTTGATTCACCACCTTTTGCACACGTGTGATGTAGTCAGATACAATTTCTGTATCCTTCATCTGTATCCTCTCCAATTCGCCACGAATAGTTTGGAGTCGAACTTGCTTCACTCGATCTGCTCCTTTGAACACTTTTTCTAACGTGTCCCACGCTTGTTTCGACGTAGTCGAACCAGCAATTTTTTCGAAGCCTGATTCATCTACAGCCCTGAACAACATGTATAATGCCGTTTTGTCCTTCGATCGCGTCTCTTTCAACGCCTTCGTTTGAGCTGCCGTATATCCCCCAACTTCTGTTGGTTCTTCAAACCCATCATGGGTCACATCCCACGCGTCTAGAGATCTAAGAAGAGCTTTCATTTGGATACTCCAGTTTTCATAATTTGACTTTGTTAGCCGTGGCAACGACATTTGATTCATCATGTTTGCCATGAGCTCTGATGCCAAATTGTTATAACTAAGAATCAGACTTCAGACAAAATTTTGTATATTGTTCTTGTTAAAATAAAATACACTCTTGGTCTTTATATAGACCTAATGGCTTTTATAATTCTAAAAAAAACATAACTGCTACTAATAAACTATCATAACTTATTAAACTTTTGTCTTTCCTACTACCATATTTAATATGAAACTTATTACTAATGACATTTAATGTTTATTCAACAGTGTGGTGGCTAAATATCTGGTTATGCTATTGACATCAACGATCAATTTTTAGACTAGAACTTTTGGGTACATTTAAATTTTATTCACAACCTAACAAAAAAACTAATTCATGTTCACTTTGCTTCAGTCCAAAATATCTATTATTTGTGATAAAAACAAAATATCAACTAGAACCTAGAAAAACGATATCTTACCTTAGCTACACTCTCTGACTTTCTCCTTATGATCTCACTTGCCATGTCTTCCAGCAAATCATGCATTCCAATCTTTTTATTCCGATCAACAGTTACAAGGCTTTGTTGTACAAGGACACTCATTCCAATATCTACAAAATGACCAGAGTCTTTCAATATTTTAGTTGCATCTTTCTGGTCCATCCCAATAAAGAAAACAGCAATATCAAGGAATATCTCTTTAATATCATTATCCCTTAAACCATCATAACTTATTCTCAGCTTCTCGGCTACATTGTCCTTGGGAATGCATTTGAGTTTCTCCAATACACTCTTCCACTCTATTTTGCTTCGCCTAGTCAACAAAAAGGACGCGATAACTTGAAGAACTAGTGGCACTTCCCCGGAGTACTCAATAAAATCTCTAGAAAGATCAACAAAACCATTCATAGGACTTGGTTCCTTGAAGGCATGCCAACTAAAAAGTTGAAGAGATTCATATTGGTCCAATGCTTCTATTTCATATACACAGCTAACTTTATGAGTGTGAAGTACATGTAGATCTTTTGTTGTGATGATTATTTTACTTCCTTGACCAAAACATTTGAGACTCCCGCACAAAGCATTCAATTGGTCCAATTCCTTAACATTGTCAAGCACAAGAAATATCCTCTTTTTGCAAAGTTTTTCTTGTAATATCAATTTGCCTGATTCAACTGTATCTATCGTTATTTTTTTTTGTTTTGTAGATATCAGAAAAAAGTTGTTGCTGTAGAGAAACTTTACCATTATCTTGTTCCCAAATTTTTTAGACATTTAGGAGGAAGCTATTTGCCTTAAAATCATGACGAATTCTATTATAAATAGCTCTAGCAATAGTTGTTTTGCCGATTCCTCCCATGCCCCATATTCCAATTAGTACAGGGTCTTTTGATTCTTGGCTATTCAATAGTTGAATAACATCTTGAACACGAGAATCTACCCCCACTGGATAGTCAGCAACGAATAAATCTGTTCCGTCTAGCAAACTAGTAACATGCTCTACTACTTTTTTGATATCTTCACTTTCATTCCTACAAAATATGAACCCAAGAGTAAGTGCGTGAACAACTATACAACCATTGTATGACATGTGTACGTGTCAACAAAGATAAGTTGCACATAAAATGTTCGGGAATAATGAATCACAGCTAGATATACTTTAACATCCTCAGGTTTGTGTCCAACATGCCATCCATTTAATCAATAGATTACCCACCCCACTGTTGAAATTCAAATGTCCTCATAAACTGTTATTTTTTCAGCCACCCTCTTTGATTGATACATTTAAAAAATTTTGGTTGTCTAAAGCTTTGCCACCACTCTACAAGCCCATAGAACAAAGTTTGACCCTAGAGCTAGAAAATGCATTTCCCTTGGTTATAAGAATGGAACCAAAGGGTATATACTATATGACATGCATAGCCATAACATGTTTGTTTCTAGAAATGTTGTTTTCTATGAAAACAATTTCCCCTTCAAACCCAACCAGACAGTCCCAACCAACCATAATCAAAATACTTACCCTATATACATTGATTTTTCAATGAATCAATGAATTTAAAAAATAAATCTTTTCTTATATTAAGGACCAGAAGTAGTAATACTTGAGTTAAGTCATTTCGATAAAACCGAAATAGTATCATTTTTAAATAAAGATCAGATAAGTCCTGGCATGACTTATTTACTAGAGTGAGGCATTGGTGCTGAATAAACTCATCTTGGGGTCAATCAAGTTATGAGCAGACCCTTATGAGTTCATAGGTCTAAAGTTAAGGATTAAATTATTCTAAACAGATATACCAAATGGATAAGGAAAGTTAACTAATTGGAAATTTCAACATCAGAACGAAAAAAAAAGGAGAAAAAGCTGTGCATTCAAAATTACCTGGAATCCACACCAAATCCTGAAATGCTACAATCTTGGCACATCGATTCAACTTTCTTCAAGATTCTTTTTGCAAGATCATTAAAAGCTTCTTCAAGCATACCTTCATCATCGTGGAACACAGGCACAACCATATGATCTGTAGTTCGGTAACGCTCCATTATTTTCTCCAACTCTTGCATACACCAAGTTGAATCAGCATAATTTTCTGAGAAAACAACAATAGAAACTCTAGATCTTTCAATTGCATGCAGAACTGAGGGTGTTATCATCTCATCTTGATTTCTAAGCTTGTCGTCATCCCTGAAAACAACAAATCCAGTCACCGTGAGAGCAGTATCAAGATTGTGTGCAAAAGATTTAGCAGCGTCCTTATCACAGAAACTCAAAAACACATCATAGATATAGCATGGATTCATATCAATGTCAGATATTGATTCAGAATCCTTGTTTGTGGAGGAAGCCATGAAGATAAGGCGATGGAAATTGGAATGATGGAGCCAGCCAGCTCTTTTATTTTTGCATAGTATAAGTCAAAGTCGTCTTAAACAAAAGAATACAAAAATCTATGCTTTTGAATTCTGATAACATTTTAAATTGCGTATGATATGTTATTGTCACCTTTACAAAGTCACTGTGGTCCCACTTGTTTTCTTTTTTATTTAGTTTGACGTGGTCCACCGTCGTTTTTTAATGTAAACATGTGATTTCAAATGTTTTATTGTCTATGTTTTTTATATTGCGGTCCCATTGCATGATTATTTATCCAAGTTGTGTTTCGATTAATTCTCAGGCCAGTTAAGAGTCATAAAATTATGTTAAGGATACACCATATGCAGAGATTAGTTGAGAAACCTGTAAAATGATATGTTAGAAGAGTTAGTATCTAAGATGAATTGGAGTTGGGGTGTGGATTGCATGTTATACATGGATTTAGAGAGTTTAATTAGATATAGGGGTTATAATAACATAAAGATTATGTGGTATTGGAACCCTAAGTATGGTTTTTCCGTGGTATCAGACCCTTGAATAATGATAAAGATATTATGCAATTTGGAAAATATGTGATAGGGTTTGAGGTAATAGATGTTTATGTTGAGCACGTTGTAGATAATTTTGAAATAGTGGATCCAAGTGAGCTATATACGGACTTTGATGATGATGAAGTATAATGCACTAGTGTTAGAAATGCAAATTTTGTTGCTAATGAAGAAGTGAATATTCAATATGAGCCAGTTAAAGAACATGTAAGTCATGATGCAATATTGAGCTTGTTGAAGAACATGTAAGTCAAGATGTTGGTGGCAATACTAAGCTTGCTGAAGAATATGTAAGTCAGGATGTTGGTGGTAATACTGAACCTGTTGAAGAACAAGTAAGTCGGGATGGTGGTGGTAATATTGAGCATGCTGGAGAAGGAATTGATGAGGAATATGTTGCAAGTGATGATAGTTGTGAGGAAAGTTAATTTTAATGTACTAAAAAATTTGAGGATATGGATTGGACTAAGGTACTACCCGCTGAGACCCTATGTAAGGTTAGTATTGGCAACAAAGAGAAAGAAGTAGTTAATATTGATCAAGAAGTGAGTGAAAGTTTTGATCGCTTGTATACCTGTTTCCAGTGATTTCTGGTAAACAACCGCTAGTCTTCCAAACTATCGAATAAACTTACTGACTGTTATTCAATTTCTCTGGTAACTCGCAGGATCGACTAGATTGATCCTAGGACTTGTTGGTCATTAGGGTAACTCTCACGATCGAACAGGTATTCATGGTTGGTATTTAGAGTGTTGTGTAGGTGTTTGACTTATTTCGATTTCTCTCTTTAAAGATCTAAATGTGTAATCAAAATATATGTACGCGAAAACTAAATTGCATGAATAAATGTTAATTGTAAAGACATATAAAATTCATAAAAGACAAGTAAATGGCTTCGAATTATAAAAACAGTTAATGTAAAAGATGTTCTGGAACGTAAAAGATTCGAAATACGAAGAAAGCGTTTAATGCAAGAAATCTGTAAAATGACTTTAAGTAAAAGAGGCGTTCGAAGGATAAAACTTGAAGGTAAAGGCATGAAAAGTATGACAGTTTTCTGAAACGTAAATTGTTTGAAATGGAAAGAAAGCATTTAAATGTAAGGCATCAATGAAAAGATTTCGAATAAAAAGACTTTAAATGAGAAAACTTATAAATGGTATTTGGCAGAAAGATAAAGGAAAGTTCTGGAAATGATAAAGGGTCTTCATTAAATCATAAACATGTGGTGCTATCATACGTACATTGCTCTTGCATTCGTTTCCCTTGCCATGTGGTAATTTGAATGTTTACTGAGTATTTAGTACAATAGATATGACACACGAAATCCTAATACTAAGACTTCTATTTATACTAATTCGACCATAACGGTCTTGCTATAAGATTATGCCACGTTCAAAACATGCAGAACAATGCCTCTCTCTTGTTTCCATGTGTCTCCAAATGCTCCAGCACATAAATTTCAAACTTCGAATGTCCCGCTTGCATTTGAATTTCAAATGTTTTGGTACTTCTCCGCTTCGAACGCACTTCTCAGACACAACCTTGTTGTCATTTCGAGACTTCTTTAGATATGTTCCCATAATTGCCACTCGAAGCTCCAAGCTTTGATATGCTCATTCGAAACACTGCTTCTGCTATTTCGAAACATGACGCTTTGTTTCATTTCGATCGAAACGTTCAATTCACTTGGCTTCTAATAATATTATCAAAATCTTCAGCCAACAAAATGCCCCTTTAAAATATGTATTTCGATCTCTCTGAGAAATACTTATTTTAAACATCTACACAAGATTTTGATGCGACCTTCGAATCATCGTAACATTTAATGCATTTGACTCCAGTCACGTCAATCATAACACTTTCTGGATTCCTTAACCGCCTGGAGCCACTTCACAGTATGGTGCAGTTACAAAACAATGATTATCTTTAATCACGCCTATTACCCATGTTAACTTTACGCCACCTCTTCATCAAACCAACCCATGATTTCCACGTATCACAATCTTATTCAGTGGATGCTTAAACTTCCACATTATAAAACATCATCAACTTAGTCTTTTTCTTTTCTTTCCACATTCTGAATCTTTTATCCTTCTTCTCTCGCCAAAAAACCCTAAGATTTCAACATTCTTCAAAAATGTCTTCTTCCACTTCATCCCAACTAAAAAAGGTTTCCAAGAAGAAAGGAAAGACCGCAGGAACTATCATGGAAAGTAAAGTTATTACTCACCAAGTTCAATCCGTTCTTGCTCCCCAGATGATCTCAAAGGAGAAAGAAATGCTTTATGCATCTCAGGTACTCATTCCTACCATCGCTGCTGGTAAGAGGTTAGCTTTAATGGGCCCTCTTACGGTTTTTGAAATTTTAAAAGATACCAGGAAAATTTTCCCAGTTTGCTATAGTTTCAAACCCTTGTTTAACAAAATGGATGCCCCTAAGGCAATAGAATCTTCTGGCCCAAACACCATGGAAAATCCCACTGTTCCTCCTAGGGATCCTTTTGTATTAGACTATGTAAAGAGTAATTTTAAACCGTTTCGATCTTGCCCCACCTCCGACGCTGCTTACCAAAACTGGTTCAATAAGGTAGAAGCTAAGAAATCCCAGCAATGGGAAGAATTAGGTATCTACAACTTGATTAAGCTGTCGAAGCCTGGTTTCACTTACAACCACCCTTTACTATTCGCGTCCCTCTATTTCTGGGACAGTACCTATAATACTTTCCATCTCCCTGGTGGAATGATTACCCCTACCTTCTTCGACATAGCGGCCATCACTGGGCTATCGCCAGTAGGAGAAACATATATCCCTGACAACGAAGAACATTCGAGTATAATCGACTTCGAAGTCAAACTAGCAAGTTTTTCCAAGTTTATCAGTCATTACCATGCTGAAGGAGACAGTGTGTCTGATGTAGAACACATTGCTTTCCTTACCCTATGGCTGTCAAGATACGTCTTCTGCAATAGATCCCTACAGGTAGCCAGTAGGTTTATTCCTCTAGCTAGGGATTTGCACGAGAATCGAAGAGTGTGCTTAAGTGAACTACTCTTAGTTGACCTTTATGAAAACCTAAGGTCAGCTGTTTCGAGCCTAAAATCTCATACCTCCAAGAATATCCTGTTGGCTGGCCCTTTTTGGTTACTTCAGCTATGGCTAAATGCCATGTTCGAACCCTCCTTGTCAACTGCCAACACCATTGATGAACAAGACCCTGAGATAACTGATAGAATAGTCGAAGGCACTAGGCTGCGAAGATTAACTCCAAATGACGACAAACACGACTTCAAAGTCCTATTCTCGAAGTACATCATGATATTCTCCAAAAGGCATAAGTTCGAAGAGACCATGGCGCCTTTTGCTTCTAGGGCTCATGGACCTTCCTGGTTCACCATGGCTCTCTCAGAAGCTGTCAAGAGCAAGGAGATTCAGGATGTATGGAGAGCCTTTTTGCTACCTAGACTCATTTCTTCAAGAATAACTCCTGCCAAGAATCAGATTTTCCTTTTCGCTTACCAGCCAAATTTTGTTTCGAGACAGTTTGGCTTATGCCAACTAATTCCTGAACCCTTATTTCAAACTGAGAGTGCCATTACCTCTGGGCGAACTTTCAAGGCACGGGAAGCCAAATTACAGCAAGAACAATACCAAGGCTTTGCCCAGTTTGAGCTAATAACCTTCGAACCTACCCATCTCACAGCTAAGGGGTTTCTGGAATGGTGGACCAAGTTTTATCAAACTTATATGTTCGATACTCTTACAATTCAGCAGAAACTAATTGATGCATTCGATGTGCAGGTACCAGCCAAGAAAGGTATGTTTACTCATGCCAAAGAGATTAAAGCTTTTCAAAATTATTTTGAAACTACTTATGATCCCACGCGCTTGGAATCCACTGTGCATCAAGCGGCTGAGACCTTGAAGGAAAAATTCAAACAAAAAGTTTCTAAGTTAAAACTTCCTTCAGGGTTGTCACCTGAGGATAGGTATAGGTTGGCATTCGAAATGCATCCACCTAAATTCCCTAGATTACCTACCTCAGAACTGGCTCTGGCTTGGTTTCCCCCATACCCTTGGTGGTTCACTTGCAAAGAGATGTTCAAACATCTTCAAAGGAAACCAAAGCCATCTGAGACTGTGACATGGGCTCGACACTGGCTCTACGATTTCCCAGGACACCTTCGTTACGACCTTTCTGCCATGTCGATTAAATCTGATCAAGGCACAGGTGCGAATGCTTGGGAAAATCCCAAACGTTTTTCATTTTCCATATCTTTAACCTTTGCTTTAATTGTTTCGATTTTCAGTCATCAGGATAAAGACAGCCGCTTCGAAGTCGAAAGAAGGGAGCGCCTCTCAAGCCTCTATCGAAACCACTGACAAAGTGACTCTATCCAAAACAACAACCACTGCTGCAACAACA